ATGAGGAGTGGAGGTGAGGGTGGAGAATTGGGAGTAGTGAAGTGGTGGGGAAGTGCTGTTGGGAAGCATTTTTGACCTTTTCTTCGTCCTTATTTTGTTAAATTTCTCTGCATCTTTGAGTTTCTGCACTTTGGCTTTGTAAAGCAAACGAAGATTTCCCTCTCTACGTTCTCGGAATGACTAACCTTCTTTCTTTTATGCGACAGTTTACCTTTCACCCTGTTCTTTCTAGGAAATCCACGTGTATTGTAATCTTGTGGGACTAAAGTGGTTTAGGTCTCTGAAGAGTTGATTGAGGGGATTGGTAAGTCGTGGAGAAAATAGTTTCGTTTCCATCACATATGAGGTTAAGGATTCTATTTTCCACCAACGTATTTTTAAAGGCAGAGGCAAAGGAATGATGATTGACTTTCCTCAACGAAGCTTAACCGGGCTCCATTAAAACTGCCTTTTTTGAATATGTCCCATTAAAAGGAAACGTTTCTGGATATTGTGAATGATCGTAATGAATGGCAGCGCATCTACTGAAAATTTATCACATAAGGCAGCAAATCGGCCCAAACACGGGCCTTTAACAGTGCTCCCATCTATCCAATCATATTTTGCTGTACTTAAAGCTGTCAAGGAAGGTCCAGAGCAAAAGAAGGAGATGGGAAGGAAATCGCGTTTGCATTTTTTAAGAGGTAGATTTAAAACAAGTTCTTAATAATGAGAGAGTCGTTTTCTTCGTTGCCAATAAATGGTGATTGTCGTTAAGCGAACCTTTTACAACTAGCTAATTTGAAACTGTACCCTTTTGTGAGATGAATGTTCGAAAGGGAAAGTAAGCCGTGGAGGCTGTAAGACACGATTTTTCTGAACAAGAGAGAGCATGTTAACCAAAACCTATTACTCTTCGATAAATTCCAAAGAAATCACACTGTATAAACTAGTAAAACGATCTATCAAATACAGCCCATTCATTCCCGGCCATTTTTGCAATGAGCATGGTAGGGGCAAACCAGGCCAAGTTAAACGAAGCTAGGCTCACTCGCGCCCAGCCTTTGATAAGCACTGGACTATTTTATGTCCTCCCTTACTCCCATAACATACAGTGACTGTTGCATTACTAATCAGAATATATAATTCATTAGGTATTATTGTAACATAACCCTACGTAAAGAATCAAGCCTTGCTCTTATGAGTTTGCAAAACAGCGTACATTGTATCTACGGTGGAAGGTACCTCCTCAAAGTACGTCTATTTATCGGTCAAAAAACGACTCGGCTGAAAATCAAGTGGTCCCTCAACCTCGCACACAGCGATGATGTATGTATCCCAAAATATTACGATGTTGATGTTTTTTCTCCATTTCAACAGCTTCTACGAAGAGCTGTGTTATTCGTACCCCAGCAGTTTAACGTATAAAACCATTTGATCCACAAACTTGGGGGTTTGTCCATCTTGAGTGGCAATTCTATTCCATGAACTTAAGATTAAGGGCGCTCTTGGTTAGCACAGCACCCGCGACACCTAACTTCAGTCTTACGAACCCGATTTATAGTTCCCATAAAGTGCCACCTTCTCAAAACCATCTCTTCTGCAGCATCTTCGAGAAGCGAGACCTGAGATAGGTCGTTCAGGCACGGTCTAATGTCTGCAGACAATCGTGTTTGGAAAGTGATTATAGCGTTTCTTGTAGCAACGACAGCGTATTATCGCTAAGCCTGTTACACGTTCTCCCCTTGAGGTGTCGTGGTAATACAAACTTAGCGGTCATACGAGACGCAAAATTATTCCTAACAATAGTAAACTGGAAGATAAGCGAATTATCCCTTGTCCAAATAAGACAGTGAGTTGTTAAAGTCCCAAAATTACCTTCGAAACGTTATGCCGAACAAAGGGGACGCTTTAGATGTTGTGTAAGACACAAAGTAATAAAGAATCTAGCCGTCAGGCACTAAAGCAATATAATTGACAAAAGTCGGTCTAAAATCAATAGATCGATTAATCGAACTTGCTAGGCGTTAATAATTTGGTGGAAATAGAATCCGTTTTCGTAAATAAGCGGCTGGTTCCACCTCCAATAATTGTCTCCGCCAATCACTTGTCTTAACACTGAAGATTACTATGGATCAGGCCCATATTAAGGGTGTTTTCTAATTAGGATTTCGCATATAAAGAGTTTACTAGCAAATTATTTGTGTGGATCACAGCCACTGAATTACTCCTCCTTGAATGAGAACGGACTTGCAAAAACCTTCTTTATTAGGGTATATTACATTTTGACTCAATTGAGGAGGGATCGGATTTAAGTACCAATAGGCGTTGACCCCAGATCGAGTCTGTAGGCCTCATTCTGTTCTTTTGGGAGGTAAATAGTAAAGCCTAGGCTTTGTGTACATGGCAATCAGGTCTTTAATACCGCCTCTCTAAGGAATTCTTACACCCTCTACCTTTTTAAGTGCCATATCTAATTCAGGCTGACAGCAGGTTGGATTCTGTGCCCTGCAGTGGTACGTAGGTGGCACAAATGCACCTGTCTTTATGGCTTCTGCTTCAACGTTAATACTATAACCTTGTGGTTGAAGCCGCTTTTTCGAATCTTATAATTACATACTAGCAGCTAACGCATTGTACGCATCCCTATCTGCATTTTATGATTATACTTGCCTACCTATCCATTCCCTTACTTACCAACCTAACTATAAAGGGTAAAAAAGTTAACTCTGGATGTGGATATCAGAGCTGGTGACCATTTTGCCCATGCAATGCTGGATGGTAATAATTTTACTATTAGTCACCACAGCTTAGAGGTGGGGTCAAAGGGAGCCTATAAAAGCTGGCTTAGGTGAACCAATCATAAGACGACGCGCAATCAGAGGTAACAGTTGTGCTCATTAACTGAAGTCCTGTGAGAAAAAATGGAAAGTTCTTGGGTTAGAACAAACTTCCTTCGTTTGTTAGTGAACGCTCGCGTATGAACTTTTCCTTCTTTCTGTCCGACTTCAATGTAATAACTATAAAGTTGCGGCGGTTAATCGTCCATATTTTCAAACATGTTTTACTGCCAATAATAGGTGAGTATTCTTTCTCCTTTACTTTTTCCTCTTAAATTACATGTAGGTTAAATTTGATAGGACCATTGATAGGCAGCCTCATAGAGTAAAAAAGTCGTCTTCTGTATTCCCTTTGTGGTGAAATCGGAATAAATTCCTCTCAACTAGAGCTTATTATTACGTCGTCATCTACCAACTGTCAAATTTTAGCCACACTATATTCCTTCGCCCCCATTTTAAAACTGAAAGGCTTAAGTCGCTCCCACCATATATTGTAGGAAAAAAATCATCTAAATCTTGATAATTGAGAGCCGACAAAGAGTGCACGTCCTCATTTAGTAGCTTCACAACATCATATTTACACTAACCTTTTTAATCGGCGTCTTAAAATCATCCAACAAAAATTTCAAATCTAATGGTTCTTATCATCACCCTCATTAGTCAGAAGAAAATAAAGAAATAGGGAAGAGTTCAGCCGTCATTTCAGTTTCTGATGCTACTAATTACCATACTAAGTATTTGCGCTAACAATTTTGTAAGCCTGTTGTGTACAGTCCATGAAATCCTCAACTTGGGCTTATTTAGAATGAATAATTTACGTTCTGAGTAAATTTATCAGCAATTTTTTGGTTTTTTTTACACTTTAACATCTGAACTTGTGCTTTAGTAGTATCATGGGTACTAGAAGTTGTAGACGAGAAGAGGGGTGGTGGCTGCAGTAGCCTGGCGCGATGATAGTCAGTTGCCATAGTGACAGTAAGCACACTCAAAGTCTACGCGCGATTGCTACAAGGATGACAGTCATGAAAGCGTAGTGTTGTTGGTGCGCATGCACACACCTACGCACCGGGATGTGTGTGCGTGCGTGCTTGCGTGTGTCTATCGACCTCGCTTTAATCGCACTGCGTTTCACCAATCGGAGAGGAGATCAATAGGCCTGGCCTTTTAGCCAAACTTGATTGGTGAACTTGCTAGACCGAGTCATCGCGGTATTGGTCAGATAAATTTAGCCGACATATCGTGTGTGTGTGTGCGCGCAGATCACGTCACGCGTGCATTGCCGGGCGTTACACTGCGTAAGCGGTGCGTACGCACGCGCAACTAAGCACACACGCACACACAAACGCACGCACACTCACGACATTTACACACCCTACAATTGCGTGTAATGACGTGTTTCTTCAGTTGAAACTCACTGTGCCAGTCGTGCTGCGTTGCTAAATGCTCTGTCACCACCATCTGCGAAGGCAACGATCCATTTACGGCAGCAGGAGAAGCATCGGCATCTAATGGTGGTTTTAAATTACTACCCCGCAATGTCTTCTACCACTTCCACAGCATCCAGCAACAATAGCAACAATAAATCCAATACCATCCCAGCATCTACTGCCAATGGTTCCGATTTCTCCCAGGAACAATGGCTGGATCTTCTTCGTGTTCTACCATCCAGTAGCCGAATGAATCTCCAATTAGCTTTAAGACAATTTCTTCAGGAGACGGAAGGTGACATCGAAACTGGTAAACTGGATCAAAAGACTCCCCTTCCCGATGCATCGACGTTGGTTCGCACCCCACTGCCATTAGATGACATGCCTCAGAATACCTATGGAACTGATCGATATCTCACTCTGCTGAGACAATCACTTGAGTTGGACCGCAAACCTCTAATCCCTTCGGTCACACTGGATACGCCTAATGGTCTTGACACTCTGGCAGCTGCCGCATTGGCAAACACAAGTGCTGAGGTGAGTCGGATTGTTACGAAATTCATGCTGAACGGCAAACGTATCATTGGCATTACAACCCTAATTTTTGTGATGTCGTGTATTGTAAGTCCAGAAGTCCATTTGGACATCTGTGAATGTCGGATAGGGGAGTGAAGTCTGTCAGAAGTGATGACATAAGTGAAAACGCATTGAGACTCAATGAACAAAAGTTGTTACAACAGATTTTCTGCATTTACACATTAAGAGATGCAGAGCGGGTAGACGCCCATGACCCCTATCCCAGTGATTCACACACATACACCACCTCCACAAGAGCGCGATAACGCCTAGTTGCTATGACGCCATGTTGTCGTGGCAACGATGGGCGTTGTTGGAAATCTCCTCTACTGTTGCGTCAGATGGGCGAAATGGAACGTTTTGTCTCCTCAAGGTCACAGCTAATGTGCCAGAGGATGTGGGGAGTGCGAAGGAGTGGCAAGGTAGGGGAAGGGAAGCGAAAAGAGAATAAGGAGAGGCTGAAGATAACCGGTTAGAGCATTCACTCACGCAAGGACACACGAAATGGTCTTCAAGTAACGGTAAGAGTCGATAGCGTGCGTGTGTGCATGTGAAAATGTTTATACGTGAATGCATACACAAATACAAACTTATGTCATGCCTACGCACACGGATGCATCCACTCGCGTCTACAGATGGAACAGCAAAACCTATAAGTATGAGTGTGGGTGTGTGAGCGTGCGGGTCTTTTCCTTATAGAAGACGTATTGAGCTGTGGAAACACATTCAACTATGCAAAGTGTAGATCACATGTTATCGCTTATGCATGAGGACACATAGAATTGGGTTGGGATCAAGCCTTCTCATGCTATGCTTTGTAAGAATGCCCAGCCTCTTAGGCCCATTTCCTTTTTGCTACCTTAAAGTATTTATTAAAATCTTTCTCCTTTGATTTAACCTTCAAAACACGCCTTAAGAACGAATTATTTTTGTTAGTCACTGATTGGAGCATTTGCCAACGCTTACTATTGATGGCTCTGTTACCGTTTGAAGACGTGCATTTTGGAATAGTCCTCACTTGGCAAACTTTTAAGTAGTCTTCCCCTCTTCCAACTTTCTAGACACTTGGGTCCGTCCTACAGGCCATTCACTCTCACTCATTAAGGATTCAGAAGGATTAATCTGGAATTAAATTCCCTTCCCTTTTATGGTGGAAGCAACCTCTTGTAGGACTAATTTGTACTTCACTGAGTCTCGGTCGAATAGACCGATTATGAATCCCTTTTGCCAGGCCGAACCGTTTTTTCTGGAAATAAACATTTTTTTTCAATCAGTCTAATTTAGATTAAATTATGTACTATTAGCAAATTATGTGTAATGAGAATGTGACCTGAACCGTCAAAGTGACCTTAAGAGAAAGGCGCAATTTGCGACCAGTCACCGTTACGTGGGCGCAGGCAATATCGCAGTGCCATGGCGAAGACGCCATGCAGACATTAAAATATGTTATCCAATTTAATAGGTAAATTCCTCTAAGAGAATGTCCCTTATCTGGACTTAGTCAGCCTTCACCATCGATCAGAGATTGATCAGGTCCCACCTGAAAAGGGGAGGCTGTTCCGTGGGTTTTGGTTGGTCATAGCTACCGCCAATCAGAAATGCCAGCTTACTCATGTGTCATAAATGTCAATTAATTGTAGATTATTTAGGGCAAATAGTTCCCCCCTTCCCCAACTGACTCATCACATGCACATAGTAAATATCAATGTCTTCCAACTGACAGAAATAATGATTGTCCTGTACAACTACCTGCCTAAATTAGCTTCATGCCAAACCTTGACAATAATCTAATAGGTTTCTGAATGGTGCATATTACATTCTATAGAGTGATGGAGTAAGTTTCTATGCTTACAATGGGTGACTTTCGGTAGGCCTACCCAATATCGAGGTGGATGCCATCGGTTGGTTGAAAGTTAAGTTAAAGTGGATAATTTAGTAGGATTGGTAGCAAGGATTGCAAACAGGAAAGAACGTATGCACCTCGATGTCACCAAGGTTGTTTTTAAATGCTGGAATGATCTGCTTTAAGTAGCACTGATTGGTTGTGGGGAGAAAGACATTCGTGTTTATGATTTAGTTATCATCTTGTTTTATCTTCCCACAAGCGTGTTTTAGATGGTTTTCAAACCTTTCTGTATCGGTAAGAAGCGAATTTACCCAAAAGTAATTCTGCAAACCATTACTTTCTGATGTGACAAAACTAGATTTCTCTGAAATGAGACAAAGTGGTAAGTTTTGTTCTATGGTTCATCTGGACTAAATCGTGGTTAGAATTCACAACTTTGAAGAAGCTGCCATCGGAGCTACGTTCACATAGAGATGAATCACCTTTCCGCGATCTCTAAAGTGAGGCTCTTTGTGCACTGCGGTGAGAGTGAGTCACCCCACATCCAGAATATTAACACTTCTTAAGGTCAACTAATGGCCTAGACCCCCTATCCATGTGGTATGATGAAGGCAATGAGTCAGCTCTCCTTCATCCAATGACAAACCGGCTGAACTGACCTTGATACGTCCACTACCTCGTTTCACTTTGTGCACACATCAACGATGACTAATCGTGTGTGAGTCATGATGTATCGTAGAGTCACTCTTTCAGCTACCGATTGGCTATCTTGATGACACCAAATTTGTGCTGTAACGTGGTAAGGTTTTGGCCATCCAAGTTTGGTGCTCTTAAACTCTGTTTCCATACTTGAAATGAGGCATACATACCAGCCTGCGGTTGGAGGTACTAACAATATGAGGCCTGTCCTTTACACTGAACAGTAACTTTAGCATTGAAATGAGGAAGGGAAATTTATCATTACGCTATACATTCTTTACTATCAATGATGGTTTGATGCCTTCGACAGGTTCGCACAGCTAATCATGTCATCGATCATATGACAAACTGCTGGTTCTGCTTTGGAACGCAGAATATGTAGGCACTTTTACCCTTGGTGTGGCATCTCCTGGGCATCTGTTTCTCGTGGCTGAGTGATAGCTCCGGTGTATCCAAGCCGCACCGGTGCCAGCCAGCCACAGTGTGATGCCAGTCCAAGAAGAGTTTCGCATATGCATTGCTCCAAGAGGATGGACGTACATTTTTTGGCTACACGTCTCATGTGATATTCGTCAGATGACCTGACGTTACTAACACTTCCTTAATGCGTAATTACGGATTCGCTCAACAACGCAGTTTGGTCAATTTTTTCCTCCTCCCCAAGGTCAGCTAGTCTACACACTAGTAGTAAAGAGTTAAAAAAGAGTCCTTGTTACTGTGTCAAGGCGAGCTCAACGCCGGAGGAGGTGGTGGGGTTGGAGGTGTTAACTGAGGTCAGATTTTGATTGGTCTAACCTGTCCCATATGAACATCCTCCTACTACAAATAAGCAAAAAATGATAAAAACTGCCGTGGATACGCACGCTTTTAAATGAGATCACTCGAAAACTATTTTTCGCCTAGAAAAAGTGTCCCTTTCTCCTTGTTTTACTCACGAATTGAGAGATGCTATAAAAACGAAATTGCAGTGTTAATTTAACGTGCCTGAATGCATGAATCTTCGGCGAGAAAGTTATCGTAGCTTGAAGTGCTTGGCTTTATTCATTGGAAAAAAGATAGTAATAGAAGATGTTTGCGAGCTTCATTTGTTGAGAAAATCAAAGCTGCAAGACATAATGACATGGATTGGTAAAAGCCGTTTGTTTACTTAGGCTTTTGATCCTACTAACAATGCAATCGTCTTTGTTCTGTCCTAGCCGCACTTCTCATTCGTCTACGTTGCTTGCCGTGTTTGTGTGATTTTCAAATGCTGATATCGTAAAAGGTAATGGTCATCTAGGCGAAATTAACGGGAGTACCGAGACTAAAGAATGAAGCGAGAACTTCGGCTCATTCAAGTGCTAAATGTTTATTTGAATGTAGTTGGGATTGAATTTTCTGTATTGAGTGATTGACAATCGCTACGGTTACACCCCACGATTTACCTTTTAAGGTCATTTAAGGCGACTGTTACAGTAGGTCGTACCGATGCCAATAAAGCAGGGGCAAACTATTTTCGTCAGGGAATCCTGGTTCATCACAATTATTCACCACGTAAGTGACATTTAGCGGATCATTTTTAAATGTCTGCACCTGTTGTCGCACCGCTCCTTCATGCCTCATTGAAAAGACAGTAAGAAATTCCAAATTCCGGGGATACCGCTAAGCCTGGATAGACCACCGACTGGTACTGAGGTTGGCATACATTCTCTTTGATCCGCAATTAGGGCTAGAGTTGCCTGCCAGACCGACACACTGCGATGGGAGTCAAATCTCCTAGATGCGATAAAATTTATGGTGGAGTACAGTCATAACAGGTAGGAGTAGTTCATTTTGATGATCTCGCTATTTATTATGGAGCATAACTTGACGATATATATTTATTGCCTGAAAAGAAAAACTTTTTCACCCTTCAGACCAACGTCACTTCCACATCAGCAGTTACTGTGATTCAAGGCAAAGCAGTGCCAGGTACTGGAATGGTAGCGATCCCCATAACTGCCCAAATGGCTCCAGCCCTTCTGGGTGGTTTCAAGACGGACTCCAGTCAGCGTCAATCTCCGACAATTCGGGAGACCCCGAAACGATTGGCTGCCACACGTGCTGAGGCCGAGCAAGCTGCTGCAGCTCATGCTGGCACCAACACCGCAGCAAAACGCAATCGTTTAGGCAATGACAATGTGACAGATGACGTGGAGATTTCCACGGCCACTGCTACATCTGCCACGACTGCCGCCAACCTTCTACTTTCCAATGGAGGTCTTCCTAAGTCGTCAGCCTTAAAGCCGGATCCTGAGTGTGTCAGCACTGCTTACACCTTCCATGGCGGAAGCAGTGATAGTCCTGGTAGTTGGAATCTTCCTTCTGCCTCAACTGTCGCGTCTGCTGTCAATGCTGCTACCAGCAGTGGTGGCGGAATCCTAACAGAGAACAATCGTCGACGCACCAGAGATGAGGGGGTAAGTTCAACCTCTCCTGCCTACAAATTCTGTGCTGTAAGCCTTTCTACAAGTCAATTTGAGGCTTTATTGGTTAATTTTTAACTCATAATTTGACCATAGATCTGAATAATTACGAAATTTCCTAATGAAAGCACTTGAACCGCCTACTGGTACGCAAAAGTACATTTGAAATTCACGAGGTCTGGATATCATGGCTTTGGAATTGTTGTTTGTCTCCCATTTGGGGAAGGCTAGATAGGCTGATCAGAAGAACCAGTCAGATCACTAACACGTCGATAGGTGACCTTAAGCCATGTGTTTATCCACTCCGCTGTGATTCATCGCAAGTTTGTTAAAATGACACCAGTAAAGACGATTCGTTTTTGCCCCTTCTTACTGTGGCCACTGAATTACACTGGCCTGGACTTTTTAATGCCTCTCTTCTTATTGGCTGTTCGGAGGCGTGTATGTAAGCTTGCATGCATTCGTGCGTACGTGCATGCGTGCGTCAGTGTGCATTCACACACCGTCGCCGTTCGTGAGTCAACTGCTGGTGCGCACGTGCGTGCACCTGTGTCGACGTTCAATGGCGAAATCAAGGTCTGTCAGCTGATATGTGTGTGCGTGCACTGTGGTGCTGATGGTACCACCAGTGGTGGCGATATTATTACCTAGAGATGGACATCCATGATAACTTGGCTGGGAATGAAACACTAGTTTATTGGCAGCGGTTTCCAAGGCGAACTAGACTACGGCGCTTTAATTGCAAGCAATCGACTTAATGGTGTAAAAATAAGGTGAAAAATAAAAAATAATTGCTTTTTAGACAGTATTAATCTAATTCACTGCCATTGGATATACGAATAGTTTTAAGTAAACTATTTTTTGTAAAAAAATTTGAGTAATCATATACAAACTTGAGGAGGGGTTATCAGTTATCGCACAAGCGCTGTTTTGGGCACAAATCAGTTGTGGAAATGGCGATGAGGTGGAACGACTCCTTCAGCCCTGACACTTGTTCACCGCCAGCCGATCGGGAAAGAGGGCAAAGCATCGTTTCAAAAAAAATTTCTTTACTAACTTTGGTGTTAATTTAGCTATTTGAAGCACCGAAATTAAGGCGTTAATCGGTGCCGAGGAAAGTACAACCTTTCTAGACATTTCATGCCTTATTTAATGTGTTTACTGGAAGTGGAAGTGTTCACCCTTGCGATGACTCATCCCTTCGATTACCCCTTAAAACTCCGCCAGAGTCTGTTAGTTTATCCACATAAGATGCTTCTTTGGTGTGGCATTTAAATGCAGGCCACAGAATCACAAAGGAGAAGTGAACCTTTGAAATTTCCCTTAAGTGGGTTTCGCCTGTGAACCTGTCACAAGATGAACCTTCAGAGAATGAGAGTTTTAATTATATCACACTGAAACAGTCTATTACTTCTTTCTGCGCACCCACAGATCACTGACGATGAGGCAGCTCGTCGCGAGAAGCGTCGAGAACGCAACCGTGTTGCCGCCGCCAAATGTCGCCAGAATCGACAAAACCAGATTGAGGAATTGAAGGCGAGACGAAAGCTCTTAGAAGACGAGGGCAACCACACTAGACAGCTAATTCAAAATCTCCTTCACGAAAAGGCGCAAATGGAGGAGTTATTGAAGAAGCATGCGGTATGGAGCTATTCTCTGTTTTGGCAAATAACAATATGCCAAAGTTACCCAAACTACTTATGCCTTAGGATTTCGCTGCTCCTCTGCCTCTTACTTAATTTTGTGCAAATGATCAAATGCAAGATTTGTACTTTTGGGAAGAAATGCAACATAGTGTGGCTTTGTCGTGAGCACTCAACATTGGTTTTGACCTCCTCTACGATGTTCACACTTTAAATAAAAGAGGTGAAACAAATGTAAATTCACCAAAAGTATTAGTTGATCAGTCCCACGCATAGGTAGGGTAGGTCAACTCGGCTCTCAAGGCACCAAGCAAAGGAAAATCTGAGTGAGCAAAATATTTTCCTGTCAATTACTGTGTGACAACACTTATGACTAAATTAAAAGCGAGTTCGGAGATCTGATCAATTTGAAGATTTGAACCTCTTTTTGGAGCAACGCAAAAGCACATAAAGAAGTAAAGCAATTTTTTTTGCAAAAAAGCAAGTGATGGTGACCAGTGGCTTCAACGTTCATTGTTTACGAAAGGCAGTAATTCGGAAGATCACGCCGCGCTGTATTATCGCGCACATGACTGATCATGTGACTTATGAATCACATCCGGATGTTATGCTACTAGCCTTGTTTCCTCATTTATTCTCTCGTGTCACATGTAATCCGTACGACCTTTGACAACTAAATAAGTCGTCGAATGACCTGCCTTTTATGCCCTCTGCTCCGCTGGCACTGCCAACATAAAGTGGTGGCAGTGGATTTTGCAATGCATGTTTGTCCGTAGACCTACCTGCCATACGCGCTATCGCTCTTTTATTTCTTAGTTGTCCAGTCTATTTCGTGTGTGATTTCGCAGGTGTTTAATGCCAAGAGTTGATAAGCATCACTTGGAGAAGCGTCACCATAGTCATACACGGAGAGAGGGTGGAGGAGGGAGTGAGACAGTATCTTTCTCCCATCCCAATCCTTCATTACGGGTGCATGAAACCATGGTTGTAAGCGTGTGCATTATCGCTGTGTGAAATGTTTCGTTGCCTTCACCAGGGGGTGGATGTTCTTTCTCGAGCACAAATGCATAGGTGGACAGAATTGGGCTTCGACACAATGTCTGAAGCGCATTCGCGTGCCGCCTGAAGCTGATTTGGTGCGTGAATTAGTGAATGGATCTTTTTCAAATACTCACTGGGTGTTTCATTTGCTTAAAGCAGGCTGTAGTGTGCAGAATGTCTTTTTCCCTCGCATTCCACTCACTGGACCAATGGTGCATTTGATCAACAAACAAATACACACGCGTGGTCGCCTCCTTTGTGGTGTAAAAGGAGAGAGAGAGAGGAAGTGGCATTGCCAAGTTATCGTTATGAGTTATCAATGTACGTGAGCAGCAGCTGTCCGCACATATTTGAGCAACTTACCTTCCAAATGATGTGGGTCACGTTTCATCACTGACATTAGGCACTGCGGCAGATCTTCATTTCCCTACCAGTAAAAGAGAGTCCTCCTTGTGTGCTTTCGTAGGGCGATTGGGAAAGATTATCCAAGAGGCATGCCTAGCCTAAATCCTCAGTAACATTTCAACGGGAGCCATCCGTAGATTTGGACTGAATTCAAGCTAAAATCGCATCATGTGGACTTGTTATACCAATATTTTATGACGCAAAGCCGAGCCGAAGGCAGGTGGAAGCAGCAGAGGACAAAAAAGGCAATAAAGTACTGATAGAGTGATGCATTTCCTTGATACTTTGCTCATGCTCATAGTCAACCGTATTCCACGTGCCTCTAAAAATCAGTAGTGAAAACTAAGCCTGATTTCACCTGATGAAACACCTGCTTTTTGCGAAGGCTGACCAACTTTTCATTCATAAGGGACGCTTTTAAAGAGTGTACTAAACAGAGCATTAGCTGTTTTCAATGTTTTCATAATTGAGAACTAATAGGAGGACACTAATAGCCTCCACTTTTCTTCTCATTTATATTTAGCAAAGTGGATGTCCCACCGCAGCCCAATACTTCGAGAACGGTACCTTCCTCCTTCGCCTTTCTGCAGCAGCAGCGGCAGCAGCAGCCGCGTCATCAACATCGGCATCAACATCAGGAGCAGTCAATGCATCGTCCACACCGAGCATCCGGATAATCCAACCCTCCACTCCCCATCAGCTTCAGCTTCCCAACCCTGGAGCCGCCCCCTTAGCCGCCACGGTTTCATCTCCTGCCGTGATTAAACCGGAGGCACCTGGTTCAAATGCTGCGATGACCTTTGTGCCTGCTCAGCGACCCAATACCCTCTCCTTAGTAACCTCGACAAAGGTAGAACTTCCAACGCCGACGTTGGATTCTGGAGCTGCATCGTCCACCACAACAACCCATTTGGCTGCCCATTTGTGGTCGCCTTCGGTGGCAGCAAAGATCAAGACACCGGGTGGCGAAAATTGGGTAAATAGCCAAATTGGATTGCCACCAATTACTGTGGGGCCGGAGAAGGATGTCGCCACGTCTGCGGCAGCTGGTACAACAACAACAACGACAACTCTCCTCTCTACACCCGACATCCTCCATCATCTTGGAATCTCTTTGGCAGCTGCACATGCATCTGGCAACACAGTAGCTAGCAAATCCAACACCATTCAGCTTGGTTGCACTGAAGGAAAGATTACGACATCATTAACGTCAGCTTCTGCGTCGTCCACGCCTTCAGCAGCTACTACTTCCACCACGACAGCAACAACAAATATGGGATAGGAAGCCGCCATAGCAGGACTGTGTACATACCCTTTGGGAAGTGTATTCACTCAACTCATTTCACTACCTACCATTCATCCACTTCTTTCAACTTGTTTTTGCGTCTCGGAACAGAAACCCAGCCATCTGTGATCTATGCTGAGAATAGGTTGTCTAGATTGTCTGCTTGTTTGCGTGTGTGTGTATGCTCGTGTGAGTTTTGGATGTGTAAGTGAATGAGTGAAAATCATTGAAGACTAGCCATCCAACTGTTGTTCCTATGCTTCGTAGGTCCCCTTCACTCCCAACCTCTCTTTCAACTGAACACGCACGCACAAACGCACAAATGTGCATTAGTATTCTGTTCCTATCCCTTCCTCTTCCTCTTCCCTCCCCTCTTTCTCTCTCTCACCCCACCTACAGCTGAAGATGCCTCGCAAGGATACTTCTATATTTCAAAATCCAAAAGAAAAAAAAGAATATATATGCATACTATGCTTGACCATTGCTCGTATAAAGTGCTTAGATTTGGGTTTTATCGTTTGGTCTTGGAAGAAACAATCACCGCCTTGTTGGGACCTGATTTCATCAGTTTATGAACACAATTTTGCGCTTGACCACAAGGTATTCTTGCAACAAACGCAATTCCTCCTCTGAGAGGTTCCGATAAGTCTTTGAGTGTAAAGTATCTTCAAATACCATATTTTGCTCCAGTGCAGCATTCAAGTATAAAGGGAAGGCGCAGCAGCACTTGCGTCGTTTTTCAAAATCTTACTACTGCCTCTTAAACAAGACACCGTACTAGTCAAGGAGTGTGCTTTTTGTAGTTCACAAGTAGCGCACTTTTAAAACGTAAAAGCCTTCAATAAAATTAATTGTCAAAGGTGCTCATTAAAGCTTTCTTAAGTCGGCCACTCCATTCCTTTCTTTGAAGGAAGAAACTGCTTCCTTTTTGACAGAGTACTGCTCTTATCCATTTTACACGAATTTCATCATACTTTAAAGTTCAAATCACCTTCCATTTTCTGCCAAATTGTTTAAAGGCCAGGGTTTATTTAAACAAAGTCAAAGCACTTATGGAGTCATGCTGCTTGTGCTGGGGAGTCCAGTCTAGCTCCTGTCCCCCAACTACGTGGTGTGTGTGTGTGTATGTGTATGTATTATGTGGTGATCCGTCTGCACAGGAAAACACAGCATCACGTCACTTCGTGTAGCATGGCAAGCAAAACATCCCTCCCGTACCTCATCAGACAGTCGAGACAGAAAGTGACTCTACATCCTGCAAAAGTGCGACAAACAACCACCCAGCTTTCTTGAATTGGCTAACTAGGGCTTTTACTCGGTGGTGAAGCCGTCCTCTACAGACTTCCGGGTTGGCCAATGAGAAGGCAAGGTACTTAAGCACTGGCAAATTGAATTTCTTCTTATAAAAAGCTTCGACATCTAATTTACAAAGGTTATCCCATCAGCTAGTAACTTTACCTCTAAAACACCCAAAAAAGAGTCGTAAGGTTTAAAGCATAAAGTTAATGTGCTTACACTCAATGCCCATAAATTCTGTTGCGTCACTGGAGAAAGTTCCAACTACTAAACTGTTTGGATCACAAACTTCTTTTAGTGCATCAAATGGAAGAGTTCAATTGAATTTATCCCCTGAAAACTATAGTACTAGAATTTGTGAAAGAAAATAGCAATGCAATGCACTGATAGGCGCCAAATGGATCGACCACCAAGGCGACTCAAAACTTGAATTTGTATAGTGTGTGAATTACGGTTGGATTCGAGCCATCCATTTTTATTTTTTCAAGACTAACTTTGCGAATTTCCTTTTGAACTTCAAATGCGAAATTTAACTGTGCAGTTGGGCTAAGCACACTCACACACGCAATCCAACGTGTTTAGTTATTTTTTTGAGGTTGAAAAGGCTCATGTAACAGCTAATCCATTTTTGAATCGTGTGAAAGTAACTAAAACTCGCGCACACACGCATACATTAGTCGAGAATCGATCATTTAGACTAGAGACCGCACACAAAATGATCGTCCCACAAGTGCACACACGTCCGCTGCCTGTTCGGAACGCGCACGACCTTGAACCGACCAATCAAAAGAAGGTGAATTATTAAAGTGCACCGCATTGCCGTGGTTACATTGGTCCCAACATCAGAGAACTTCAGCCTCGGATCAAAGACAATTTTCCCTTACACCAATATTTGCCAGGAGAAACTGCTTCTAGTGGTACGGGAATGGCAGTCCTATTTCTGTGATGAACATGACACCAATTTTTGTGCAAACCAGGTTAAGTACTTAACTGAGCAGTAAATAGAATTTGGTAGAAACACTGATGATGAAGAAGATCAAAAAACCCTCCGCGCAGGATAACCACTTACTCCAGAAAACAATATTCTTGATGCGTTGTGTAGAGAGATACATTAACCCCGTAGGTAGATAAACTCCTGAAGTACAATTGTGTCTGCATCACTTAAGCAGACTTCTGAGTCTATATTTCAGAGCGCAGTAATCGAACTTGCTGGGAAAATGAGAAGGATTCTAACGACACCGCTACCGTCAAGTGATGTACAACGCGCATTCGGACAGATAGAGATCGCATACCCTTGAGCAAAACGTTGGCTCTGATGTCCTCTTCCTCCTCCCTTGAAAACCTGCTGTCGCGATACTCACTCCACGAAGACTATCTTAAGTAGTGCTTCATCTGGTCGTTTAGAGTTGTGACAGCTAGCAAATTAAGAGGCACCACCCTATCAATTAAATCTTGGTGATAGTAAGCTTCTAATTCACATTCACGTTACAGCAGAGCCTGAAGTGCAATTTGCACTGTCCTCTGACTGACGGCTTGAGTTGTGATAAGAAACAACTTTTATGCTATAGCGTTTTTGATGAAAAAACCACGCATCATCCCGAACGATTGGCCCACTTAGCCACACGACTTTCCACATTGAACCCTCTGGGCTCGGTGACGTCTAATCAACGTTAAAAAGCAATCAGCTTTGCTTGATGTGAGAACTAATGACTTATAAAAGGGATAGAGAGAGGATTGTCACTTGTTCTTCGATGCTTCATTAATTA